CCTTGAGTGAGAACTCTGAGTTGATTTGTTTCATCTGCTTGTTTGTTTTCTTGGCTATCCATGGTATTGTCAGGAGTCTTCTCCAGTACAAAGTTCCAAAGCATCAATACTCTTTCTATCCTGCTACTTCAAAGTCTAGCTTTTGTTTCCATAGAGTGTCACAGGGAAAAACATTGCCTGCATTATTCTGATCTTTGTAGGTATAGACACACTGCAGAATTTAAATATCTTTTCCAAGGCCCTCATTACTACTCTACCAAGTGCTAGTCTGTGACATATTTCTTGACCGCTGGTTTCTTTACTGTAGGATTGGTGGGGAGGGCGGGGGTTGTTTTTGGTGCAATCAAGTCAGTGTTGATTCCTGGCAACTGCCTGCACTAGTCCTTACAGTTTTCTTGGAAAGATTTTCAGAAATGGTTTGCCTTCTTCCTAGGGATGAGAGAATGACTGGTTCAAAGTCATCCAGCTGGCAGGACTAGAACTCATGGTCTTCCTATTTCTAATCTAGTGCCTTAATCACTAAACCAAATTGTCTTCATTGTAATTTCTAAAGTAAGCTGCCATACCAGTTGTCATTAGTTTGGTCTTCTTAGTCCCATTTTTTTACTGTGCTCCTTGATTTTCATTATTAGAGCTTGCAGATTATTTCATTTATTTCTTTATTAAAAAAATTTAAATCACCCAATAGTAGAAGTTCTCTGCTACTGTTGATATATTTGCTGTGCTATCTTTTGATATATTTACTGTATAGTTTACAATAAATATATCAAAAAAAGAAAGAAAGAATACAATTCAAGTTAAAACATATCTAATAAAATCAGATAAAAAAATACATACAAACTAGGCAGCAACAAGGTGATTGCTAAAATCTAAAACAATATGAATTAAAGTATAATTAGAATACAATTGAAATGCAATGAAAAAGCCTGAGAAAATAAAAAGCATAAGGCACTGAAATGTTGCTAATATGGCACCAGTTGAGTTTCTCTGGGGAAGGCATTCCATAAATGGGGAGTTGCCACAGAAAAGACTCTCCCTAGTAGAGACCCACCTCATCTTCTTTGGTGGGGGGACATAAAGAAGACCCTCATTAGAAAAGGTCCAGGTTGGTACATATGGGATGAAGCATGTAGGGAGGCATACATTTCACACAAGGCAATGAAATGTTCTGGGATTCCCATTTTCCTAAGGCCATTTCCCAGCTTGATATGGTTGAAACAATTGAAGGCCTTTCTATCATCAATGAAGTACATACTGACTTTTCGCAATCTTTGACTTTCTTAATTATGCAGCATGTGTGAGCAATAACGTCTTGTGTCCCTTGGCCTTTTCTAAAGCCAGCTTGAAGATCTGGCATCTCCTTTCCCACATAGCACTCTAATCTTCTTTGGATGATCCTAAGCATTATTTTGCTAGCATGTGAAATTAAGGATATTGTACAATAGTTTGCATGCCCAATTAAGGCTCCTTTCTTTGGTATTGGGATGCCGATGACCTTTTCCAATCTTTTGGCCAGCGTGTCACTCCAGATTTGCTGGTATAGTTTGGTTGTTTCTCTCCTTGAGATATTCTCTCAATTCCTGCACCCTTCTAACTTGGTAAAAATAAATATGGCATATAACTTTAACAAAGTATTATTATAATAAATTTATTAAATTTATATGCCACCCAACTCCCAGCAACTGGTAATGGCAGGAGTTTTGATCTATCTTTATCTTCTAGCACTAGAAGTCCTTGTAAATAGGGAGTATTTTTTAAGGTTTCTTGGATACTGCCATTCCTACTGCAGAGAAAAAAAACCTGCATCACATTTCTTATACAGCATGCAAAGCTATCACTTTTAGCATGTAGACAGTTCTCCCTGGCTATGCCTAGTTTCCTGCAAGGACCAATAGTTTTCTTCATGCACTGCCTGTTATTGTGGGCCTGGCGGGCTGTTTGTGTATTGGGAGCTGTTTGTGTTTGTGGGGCCCCGTCGGATGAGGAATTTCCTGTGTTGCTTCTGCTTGTTCTGGTTTGATTAGATACGTGACTATAGATACATGGCTAGTTACAAGTTGAACTATAGTACCCTTTGCCTCATTATAATAGTAGAAAACACACCCCTAGGAGTAAACCTGAGATGCTAATGAGCCCCCCTCATGGCTTATTATGGGGTACATAGTTGTAGTATGCATGTGCATGATGTAATTCACCCATGGATTTGTTTTAGCCAATAAGAAATGTGATGAATGTTACCTGCTTAGTGAAATGTATAAAAGCCTTTGGATAACACCCCTTAGCACGCTCGATTTGGATTTTGGCCCCGAGTGTGCCTCTTTGCTTCTGTACAGAAATAAAGTCTAGTCTAGTCTGTGCGTAATTTGGCCCTCTCTCGCAGCATGTGTCCCAAACAGTTGGTCACCCCCTGGCCAACATGATCTCCCCTCTAGTTTCAACATGATATTTATCATTCAATCGGACAGAAACACACATCAACTTAGAGGTCTGCAGCTGGCTGCCTTTGGCCATATCCAGCCTCTTGATTGATTGATTGATTGATTGATTGATTGATTGATCATATTTATATGGCTGCCCATCTCATGTGATGAGACTCTGGGTGGCGTACAAACAAACCATGGAAAACAATTTTAAAAACATTCAGGGAGTACAAAAATTAATATTATTATGAAAAGACTAAGCAAGAGCATCAGATTATGAACAATAGAGCCACCTCATCAGATCACTGTTTGATGTAGTTCCTTCAATTGCCAACCCCACTGGTTTTCCTGAGACTTGTATTTGAGAGGAAAATGATGGAGCCTGGCATCTAGAGATTGAAATCTCTTAAGTAAGTTGAAGAACCAAGTGATACTTAGTCATTTCATAGGAAAAAAAGAGGAATTAGAGGTGTCAGGAGTGCATTCAAAGTTTCCTTCTTCCCCTAAGTTTCAAAATACATTGGTTCTAAGGCCGGGCAAATCTGTTTTCCAGCCTGCTTATTAACTCTGGAAATAGCCCAACCTGTCCTGTTCCAGTGCTAAGGACAGCCATTTACAACCTGTTCTTAACTAGGAAAAATAGAGTTCTCTCTTCTCATTATCTAACCTGAGAAAATTATTGGTGTCTGTATCTGTATCCATCTTTATCATTGTCTTTTCCTTTTTCTTCTTCCCTTATTCTTGACAGGCATCATTTCATTTTCAACCAAGGGCAAATATTGCAGGAAACCTAAATAGTTTCATAGCAAATGAATTTCAAATTTCACAGAAATCAGTGCTATGGTTTTCAAACTACAATACTTTTAAGGCAGGACAGCTCAGACCATTTCAGCAGTATTTCCAGTGCAATTTGCTAATACAGTTGGGCTGACATTTCCCCTGCTGTCCTTAATCTCCTGATTGATATAGCAAAATACATTGTGTGTCTCTCTGTGTGTGTTCCTGCCATAGAAACTTACTGGGTGACTTTGTGATAGTCACTCTCTCTCAGCTTGACCTACCATGCAAGGTTGTTGTTGTGGGAAAAATGGAAGGACAAAGTGTTACATATTCCAGCCTGAAGGAAAAGTTGGATATAAGCTAATAAGTAAACAAATAAAATGGGAAGGGAAAGAGATACTGCTTAAAAAGGGAAATGATAGGAAGAAAACAAACACCCACACCTATATTATTAACAGTTTTACAAAGTTAATTAATAAACAATTTGCAAGAGGAAAAAACACTAAGTCTGGAAAAGCTTGCTGAGGATTAACTGAAACATAATCACGAAACTTTGACAGAGGAAGGAAGAACAGGAGTCTGGAAACACCAGCAGAGCTAGATTTATTGGGCAACCACTTGTGAGGAAATGGCTCCTTCTGAAGCAAAACCTGGTAGAATCAGTGGTGTTTTACCTTCCTTCCAGTTTTGTAATATATGAACTATTGTGTTTAAGTATGAGATAAACAGTAACTAGTATTTATCGCCTCTGCATGAAACAGTTTCAGTTCCAGTGCTTCAGTGAGCTCTAAGACAAGCTTCCTTTGTAGGAAAGATGATTTAACGGCAGTTTTCCAATGAAGTTTTGTGCTCACAGTGTAGTGAATATCATGACTATGTTTGCTGGATGATTACATTGTATTTAATTCTGTATTTATGAGGTTTTTATTTTTTTAACTACCACCAACAGATTCTGGAGGGGACACGGTGGCACAGTGGCTTAATGATGCTGAAAGTTGCCGGCCCTGCTGTACCGTACAT